ATTAGAAAAAATAAATAAATAAAATAAAAAAAAATAAGAAAAATAAAAAATAAAGTCTTTAAAAATTCATTATTCACTAAAAGGAAAGGGGGGGGAGATTTCACTAAAATTCAATTTTTTTTTTCTTTTAAACTTTTTGCAAGAATTTCCAAATCAATGTGTTTTTCACCTGAAAAAGGTGCTAAAACACTAACTGTAGATATTATGTAAAAGGAAAAGAAAAGACTTCTAGGTACCCCCACAAGATCGCATAGCATGATGAAAAAGATGCCAAACTTGACGTAAACAAAATTTTATCATCTAAATGTTTGTGTTACTATGAAGAGGAAAGACCAAAGATTATCTTAATTATTTTTTTTTTTAATTTTCCTTTTTAGAACATTCTAAATTTTGATTAAAAAAACCTTGTTTCTCTTTGTATCACCGGAACTAGTAAAATAACACACAATTTTTAGCACGTTTTTCCTGTATGACACACATTAACTTGGAAAATCTTGCAAAAATAAAAATTATTGTCCGATATTAATGAAATTTTCAGAAACTATTCACAGATGATTATAGATATTTTTTTTTTTTTTTTTTTTATTAAAGTCATGACAAATTCTTTTTTATATATTTATTACCCTCCCCAATAACTAATTTCATGAAAACTCTAGAAATTCAATAGTCCAATTTAGTGATTATAATAGTTAAAAGCACAAGGCTTTGAGGAATGCAAATTATTTTTTTTGTTTTTAATTGGACTCCCACCCCACCTGAAAATCAGCTCTGAATTGTAACATACAAAACTCAATAAAACAAAGATATTTAATTTCAAATGCTTTTATTTGCTTTTAGTTGTTTTTATGAATATGGACATTGTTTTCTGAAAGCAAAAAATTTTTGATGAAAAATGAATTTTTAATACAATTGTTTGTTATTTCTTTAATTATAATAAATTTTTACATTTAAGTTGTTAAAATATAAAATTAGTTAAAAGCTGCATCCACTTTTGTAAGTGTCCTTATGAGAGATCTTTTTTAGCGCGTTGTAAATTGTATGGTTTTGACTAATCAGAAGACCCGCAGTAATTAAGAAATGTAATTTTGTGTTTATAATTGGGCTGTAATTATAAAGCACGGAAGACCAACTAGAATACAATTAAGCTGCGTTATTTGAGTTAAGCATTGTTCTCAACTATTAAGGCCTTTACTTTTGCAAAATATGTGTGGAGAACTTAATTTGATTTTTTAATTTCAACCTACAAGTATCACTATCATCTTATGAAATTTATATGATCTTATTTTTATATTAATCTCAGTTATGACATTTTTCCATTAATGAAATATCAAAATTAATAAAATGAATGGAAATACAAATAACACAGTAAAATGTAGTAAATCTTTTTAATCTCTTAAAAGTCTTATTTTAATTTCTTTATATTTTCCATAAATCATCGTAAACGTAATGGTGAAAGCTCAGTACAAAAAAAAAAAAAAAAAAAAAAAGAGCACTGAAAGTTTTCCTTAAAAATAACGAGAAATAATTTGTTCACTTAAATGTAAATAACTTCACTTCTCTCCTTCCATAGAAGGAATTATCCTCACGTAATCCGTCAATATGTCATTCATCACCTGTAAAGTGATGTGAAAGTTTATGGCCTGCTTTGTTTTATTTTCAAATTACTTCTTTACGGTGAAGAAGCTAAGTTAGGCTTGGTTCAAAATATTTTAAATAAACAATTTCTGATGCTCTTAAAATAAGTTTTGAAAAAATGATAGACATTTAAAAGAATTTCAAACTGAGATTTATTTTTTTTTTTTTTTAAAATGTAAAAAAAAAAAAAAAAAAAAAAAAAACACAAAATACTTTGATCTTTCCTCTTCATAATAACAAACACTTAGACAATAAAATTTTGTTTTTGTCAAGTTTGGCATCTTTTTCATCATGCTATGTTCTTTTTTTTAGTGATCTCGTGGAGGTACCTACTTTTAATCCAGCTTCTGATTGTGCTAGACAGGATTAAAAAAAATTTAATAAAATAATCAAAAAATACTTTGGTCTTTCCTCAAATATTCTGATGATAAAACTGTTTTTATTAAGTTTGGGACCTTTTCTCATGCTATGTCGTTTTTTTTCACCAAAAAAGTGGAGGTACCTACATTAATATCTCTCTATATTTCCGAGATGAGGTATTGTAATTATTTACATTGTCCAGACTTGTCCTCATCTTCATTGCCATATTCAGGTTTTGGCCATTGTATGCTCTGGCTTTCTTCAGGTGATTGGAATTTCGAACTGAACCCTTTATTTTGTCCACTGGATAAAAGCATTAGTTGAACCCTGTGACTTGACCCAAAGAATGAAGTTCAATATCTGACTACAGTAGAGGTGAACAAAACTTGGAGAGTTGAATTAAAAGGGAGATAACTGATACTGAGACATCCGGAAGAGGAATGGCACATGGTTTCTTTAGTTTAAAAAAAAAAAAAAAAATACACATACAGTGATCCCTCACTAATTCGTGATTCTACTTTCTACTATCACGGATTCACAACTTTTAATGGATTTTAAAAATATATATATATATATATATATATATATATATATATATATATATATATATATATATATATATATATAAAATATATCAATTTCTGGAAAATTCTAGAAAACTACTTAATATATGAACAACTAAAATTTTTCATTAAATCCATTAAAATATTAATAATAAATATTTCCTAGTGTAGGAACAACAAAACAAGCATAAAATAGCAAAAATCATATACAGGGGTATTTGAACTTGTAACTCACATGACAAAAAAAAAAAAAAAAACAAAACCACTAGAATGTGATGTGCATACAGTATCCTCACAATTGTTGTTGAGAAAACGCAAAGCATACCATCTCAGTGACGACGTGGGTTGTAAGACTGGCTGTGATTGGTACAATGGGGAGAGATGACGAATCACGGCTTTCTATTTTGTATTCTGGCCTGTGATTGGTGCTTTGACCGATGCTCAGATTCACAGCATCTTCCCTTGTCTCTCTTTTGCAGCCATTACACTTCAAGCTTTCTCACCGAGCAGTTTACTGTACTACTTTATGCTGTGCGGGATTTTTTTTTTTTTGCTTTGCATTTTCTCCTCTGCATTGGCTCCCAAGCATGCTGCTTCTTCCAAGGCTGGTACTGAGCCTAAACACAAATGAAGAATGATGATGACGATTGCTGAGAAGGTGAAACTTCTGGATATGTTGAAGGAAGGGAGAACTATCACTGCCATAGCCTGCCATTTTAGCGTGAATGTATCCACCGTTTGCTACATCAAGAAGGACGAGGCCAACACTAGGAAGACAGCTGTCATCACCTTTAATAAATCAGCGAAGAGAGTAGTTATGGCTCATGATAAAACTATCATCTGTATGGAAGTTGCTTTGGCTGTATGGATAGCCGACTGCCGAAAGAAGAATATAGCCTTGGATATGAACATCATCCAAACAAAGGCTCAGAGCCTGTACAAGACTAAGGAACCTGGGGTCGACAGTGGCAACCACAAAGAAGAGAAAGAAGATGATGTAGAAGATCTGCAACCAGGGACATCCAGTGATTCACAACTAAAAAAAAAAAAAAACGTCCTTTTTCTGCTAGCAAAAGGTAGTTTGCTAAGTTTCAGAAACGCGCCGGCCTAAAAAGCGTTTTCCTGCATGGCAAGGCTGCTTCTGCTGACACGAGCACTGCTGAAACATACATGAATGAAACTTTCAAGATTATCTCTGAAGGTGGATATAAGCCCAAACAAGTTTTTAATATGGATGAGACGGACTTGTTTTGGAAAAGAATGCCGTCAAACTTTCCTGTACAAAGAGGAAGCAAAAGCCTCTGGCTTTAAAGCATACAAAGATTGTGTGACCCTCATGATCTGTGGCAATGCTGCATAATTTTTGTTAAAGCCAGGACTTATTTACAAGTCTAAAAATCCAAGGGCTTTAAAAAACAAAAACAAGAATTTGCTACCCGTACATTGGATGCACAATTCAAAAGCGTGGATAATGAAGATGTTGACTTTCGAGTTATTAGACTGCCACTTCCAGCCGCAGACCTCTAAGACTTGACAAAGTCGGCCAGCAAAGAAGAAACGTAGCAAAAAAAAAAAAAAAGGAAGTTGTCAACCAAACTGGCTTGACTTTGGAATGGCTGGCCAAGCTCTGCAACCTGTCTAAAGAATTGAAAGAGGGGTCACAGTAATGGGACGACAATATGGTTCAATCTTTGCAATTTTGCAACAAGGTTGACGAAGTCATGAATCCCTACAAGATGCTCTTTGAACTGAAAAAGCAGCAGAGGCAGCAACTTCCTATTACAAGGTTTTTGCAGCCTCGCAAAAAAAGAGGTGGTTCCTGCTGCTACTACTATGGTTGCACCTTCGGAAGAAGTGGAAGAGGTGTCCCAGGAAAGGGCATTGCCGTCTGAAGAGACGTAAAATACAATTATCAGCTTCATCATCATTTCTACTGCGCAGCAAATTCATCACTATCATCATTCAAATTTTACTTCAACTTTTGTGTTGAATACAGTAACAATATTTTTTTTAATCTAAATTGTTAATGCTTAACAGTTGTCCTTGTTATTAATAGAGTACTGTAATGAGTGGGTTGTTAACAGTACAAGGAGGGTTTTAAAAGTCCAAATACACGTTAAATAAATACCATAAATATGGTATCCTGGCCAGTCTCGTAACCAATCTACTGCGATAAATGAGGGATCACTGTATATTAATGACAGTTTGCCCTCTTCCACTATCCATACTGATGGCCAGCAGTAGCATGGACAGGCTTCCCAGGTTATTTCAGAGCCAACCTCTCCTGAGAACTATATTGTATGTACACCTCATGGAGGCAAGGGTCCCGAATATGTATAAAAATGAATGCTATAGCATGTTGTAACCTATTACACACGTTAGCGAATAAATATATATAAATTAGAAAAAAATATACTTCGACATCACCCCAACAGAACTTACCTTAAATGATGTTCTTGATCCCAGACCCACATTTCATATGAGCAGCCTTCATTTGGACACTCCACAATACCAAGTCTCTTCTGAATTTCAATATTATCATCAGGAATAATGGGCCTATAATTATTTAAAAAAAAAAAAAAAAAAAAAGTAATGCCACTTAATGCAAAAGGGAAAGTTTTGAAAGGGATCTGAAAACCCCTTGACTAAAAAATACACAAAGACAACACTGTAAAAGGTCAGAAGAGTAACGCCACAGTTCAAAAAGGAAATCATTTTATTTGGTTCAGATAACACAATGTGGTTTTGACATGACATTATTGCTGTTTTGTCCACATTTTTTTTTTTTGGCAATCTTCCCAGGGATAAGAAAATTGGTATACAGAATTGGTCTTTATTTTTTTTTTTTTTTTTTTTGTGGGATTGTAAGCGTCATTGACAATGATGAGATTGACACATGCATTCAAACCCCTCTTCAAAACATGCTTCCCACAATGCCATCTTTCCAATTATAGAGCAAACAATTTGCTAGAGACATTTCTTGTACATTTTTTTTTTCTTTGGGAAAAAAATAAATAACTAAAAATAAAATTCAAATAGAGCTGATACCAAATTAAAACTTAATATCATATGGTAGTTCCATAACCAACTCATATTCAGAGCAAATCTCCATAATTTTATTTACCATTTCCTACTTGTGATTGGTTCCTTCTAAAGTCAACTTCAACTCTACTTATTATGTCGCTGCCTGAACTCTGAAATTAAGTAATTATTTTTTTCTCTCCCAATAGGAGTAGATTGGTTTGCCTATCATCTAGTTCACTCTCCTCCTAGGTCTTTTGAACAGGAGCAGAGGTTTATCTCTGGTTTCTTATTTAGGATTGGGTTTCCAGTTCCTTCTAAAATCTCACTGAACTCTGAAAGGTTATTCACTAATTAAATCTTGACCTCTTCAAGTCTAGAGTTAAGTTATCTTTCCTATATAACCCCAAGAACATCACTTCTTGCCCTTTCTTACACTCATACAACACCACAACCCTCTACCTCTAGTGGCTCTTGGGCCTTGTACTTGATGAATACTATTTAAAAAAAAAGAAAAAAAAGTTGCCAAAAGCATTAAAAGCATTCAGTAAGGAAAAAATATCAACTCTCACATAAGCTATATGTATACACTACAGAGATTTTCAAAACAAACTAATTAAAAAGGCAGATAACGGGCTTTCTGCCTCTCATGCAAAAATAGGCACCTAAATGGAATTTACCGGCACAAACACTTCTGTCAAAGTGGAAAATTACCACAAAACTTCACGTATATTTGCTACCAACCCACACAGCTAGCTTTAACTATTCATTACTGCTTGAAACTGGCAGTTGGCCACTAGTGTTTCAGCCACTATCAAAATATGTTAAAGTAGAAAGAAAGAAATCATGACATTCACTTCCAAATTCTCATTAAGTAGCATTTAGTTTCATTGTTCTTTAAGTTTAATTTGAACATTAAAACTGAAATCCAACATTTGCAATTAGATTTTTTAATAACATTTTGAGGGGGGAAGCTGGAAAATTTGCAGTACCACCCAATTCCCTCATTTTTGGGGGTAGGTAAAGGGCTTCTTGATTGAACAGAGGACTTTTCAGCACCTTGTATAGACCTAGAGAAAAAAAAAAAAACAAAAAAAAAACAAAGCTGAACCAATTGATATTATTGTCTTGATCTGAAGAAACCTCATAACTATGACACACTAGTGAAGGAGTTTATTTTGGGGGAGAAAAAAGTAAACAATAAAGCCTTAGAAAGATCAAAGCTAAAATTTTGTGTTAACTATAATGGGAATCACTTTGCTAAAATGATTTATAGACATGAGTATATGTCAGTAGTTTTATTATTTAATAGGATTTTGTATTCCATATATACTTCAGTCATCTACATAGAGTTAGTTACCAAAGTTTATTCTTGATATTAGAATTAATATTTCAGAATAGTAAAGGATTCCATCTCTTGAAAAAAAAAAAAAAAAAACACACTCAATACTAAAAAGGAATCTGGAATTTTGGCATCTTAGAAATATAATCAAGAATACAGGAATAGGATGGTCCTTGGAATATGACTCAAGAAACTTAACTGAAGGAACCCTTGTTTACCCCATAGTTTATTGATGGGTAGTCCTCTGGGACCTCTTATGTCTAATATTTTTGCAGGGTTCCAGGACAAACAAATGTTTGATAAGGTTCCCAAACCATACTGTTACATATGTTATGTCGGTGATATCTTTTCATTTTTTTTTTTTTACATCTTATATCAAGGTGAATAGATTTTTCCAACATTTGAACAATCTCTACTCCGCCTTACAATTTATGATGAAGGAGAAAATAATATATTGCCTTTCTTAGACATTTTAGTTCCACATCTTATGTCACTAGCATCTACAGAAAAACCCACTTTTAAAAGTTATATCCTTGTTGGGATTCCTTTGCCCTAAAATCTAGGATAATCAACTTTTTCAAAACTCTTACCCACAGTGTACTAATGATGCGCTTGAAATGTAAATTGGATCTCAAACCCAAGCAAATCAAACATTTTTCTTGCAAATGGCTATCCTGAAAATGTTCCGAGTAACATTAAACTTAAAATCTCTAAGTTTGACGATATGAAAACATTTGGTTTTCCTAAGTGTCCTGTTTATATTAAACTACCACAGAGTGGATCTTGTAGTCAATTTTTTGCCAATAAGAATCATCTAAAATGCACTGGTTTAATTCTGTTGTTGTGTGTACCAGCTTCTCTACTAGAAGTGCATTTCCCTCTATCTGTAAAGACACTTTGCCTACACCCCAACAAAACTTAGTTATTTATTGCTTTAAATGTCAGTACAATGTTTACTATGTAGGTAAAACTACTCAACAGCTAGAAGTGAGCATTACTCAACATGTGCCTGGTCCTATTCTTAAGTATATATTAATATCATCCGGTCACTCAGAGACACACGAGTCTTCCATTGGTGAACACTTAAGTAAAGGAAAAAAAAAAAAAAAAGAAAAGAAAAATTATCCAGAAGAGTTCTGTTCTGCACAGGGCCTGGACAAAACACCATCTGAATATTTTACAAGCTGTTGTGATTAAAACACAGTGTTCGGCTGTGCTCAAACACAAAGTTGAACAGTTTTGGGAGTCATTGGCTCGATCTGGATGACAATAATTCTCCCACACACCCTCTTGTCATCTCTTCAATCTTAAGATTCTATTAAAAAAAAAAAAAAAAAAAAAAAATATACACACCCCTTCGAGCAGTTTTTCAATACTGACAATTGACTTCTAAGTATCAGTTGAAAGGTGCCTAGGTTATATTTATTTTACTTGATTTTAATATATATATATATATATATATATATATATATATATATATATATATATATATATATATACACACAACACACACACACAAATAGCTAAGGTTTAAAATGAATGTTTATAAATAAAAAAAATCTAAGATTTACTTTTAGTTTTAATTTCAAGTTAGATTAAATTTATTCCCAATAAGCAAAATACTTGGCTGTATTTCAAAAACTTAATTTAAATTCACTGGAAGGAGTTTTGTTTTTAAATACTAAAATAGCTGATTAGCACCCTGTTAATGTTTCCTTGCAATGTTATTCTATTATTAAAATTTTTTTCCAAAAATAAAATATACTTTTCTGAAACTTTATTTGAGGAATTAAAGTATAATTAATCTGATTTAAAACAACTTATTTACTTCTTTCGGAGGAAGCATTATCAAAAAAAAAAAAAAAAAAAAAAAAATTACTCCTCTAGTGCAATGGGAGAGCATGGCCTTGGGCAGCTGTTCCCCAGGGATGGGCACCTCTTCAGTATTATTTTTCTCAGTTGCCCCTCAGCACACTCTGCCCAAGGACAGAGACGCAACTGAGAGATAAGTAAATGTGTAACTGCTCAAAAAGAGTAATTTACACACTAAAAGCTCAATATCTTCTAGGCAATATCACTCTTTAAGTTTAACTAATTTGCATATTGATTTTAAAAAGTTTATTCCATTAACTGTTCTTCATTACTGTCCTTCATTTGAGGATTGTTTTGACTTTCATATCAAAAATAGTTTTGCTTAGGAATAATGTCTTATATAGTGCAGAAAAGTGTTTGAAATTTGCATTTTACTTGGCCTTCAACAAGTTGGCATCTATTTGTAAAACTTTCCTTAACTATAACAAGCCAATTTATGAATGAAATTGGCATTTAAAATTGTTGTTTCAAAGATTTCAAAGTAGTGAGCATATTTTACTTTGTGAAGCGATAGTGAGTGGGCAAGGCCTGCTAGTGGTTTATAATTTAGCTTTGTAGGTGGAGGAAAAAAAAAAAAAATATTGATATTTAAACTTTGTGACTATTTTCCAAAATTCACCTCTTTGGCAAGGGTCATGGGAGCCCTTTGACATAGAGATGTAAAATAGGCACCATTCAATTTCTATTATGAAGCTCTATAAGTGTATCAAATTTGAAAAAAAAAAAAAAAAAAAAAAAGTGTCAGTGATAGTCAGACCCTTATTGATTTTACATGGAAAAAACTTCTAACTAGAATTAAATAAAGTTCATTTTTTGCTCATGTGTGTTGTGAACCACCAAAGCAAGCACACTAATAAGCCCTTTTAATGGCCCAGATTCCTATCAACCAAAAAGGAAGTTGCATTACAACCATGGAGCTTGAAACTACATTATCTTTCAACCAGTCTTATCAGCTGTTATTAACTGTATTTCAAAACTATTCTCTTTCCATGTGAACTATTTTGTTACTCTTGTCTTCAGTTAACAACAGGTCTTTATATATTTAAAATGTCATTGGTACAAAACAAGGTCATGCAACATACATTTTTAACACCTTGTTCTATACTAAACATGCAGCCCTATACTCAATAAGTAAATACCACAACCAATCATTTTTCTTATGTTTAAATATATATAAGCAAAGTTTTGTAATAAAAGGTAAATGCTTGAAAATATTTAAATATTAGTTATATTTTTGTATTTAAAAAAAAAAAGGGGAGGGGGGCATGTAACTCCCCAGATTATAGTGCAACCTATCTGCAAGTCAACCACAAAACACTCTTTGACAACCCCCACTAAGAATACAACCTATATGTGAATATATATATGGTAATAATATTTATTTATACTACATTTAAACTATTGTTCCTATCTTTGTCATAACGACATTTTGGTTGTTGTGCCCTCCAAGGAATTCTAAACCAAACCCTTTATTTAATCTATGGGGATAGACTTCTCATTCCACTGCTCATGTCTTGGGATATTGTCTATTTTTTTTTTTTTTTTTTTATTTCAGTAATGTTCAGTTACACCTCACTCGTTTCATGGAGTGCAAGTACACACTCAGTGGAAACGGGGGAGCAATAACTGAACAGTCCTGTAGCCATTTAACGCTTTCAGGTTATTTTCACTAAAATAAGACTCATTGTCCTGAACAGATTTATTGATCATAAAGGCAAGTTGGGGTTTCATAGTTAAATACAGTTCCAAGTTATAATCTTTCTAACGCCTTTCTAAACACAAGAGCAAACAAGAAATACAACTTACCTTTCCAATGGAAACTGACCAATTTTATTGCACATAGGGCAAGAGGAAATTCTAAGTGAGCCATCTTGATTATAAAGACAATCAGCACAAAACTTATGTTGACAGACTCCAAATACCATTCTCAATCTGGGACACATACACACCATGCAGTTGAACCTGTGCACAAGAAACAAAATAGATTAAAAAAAAAAAAAAAAAAAATCAAACATTTCACTTACCTCTTTGAATACATAAATTATAATAACTTTTAAGAAAAAATTATTTTTTTATCTTTTAAAGAGAATTACATCCTGATAAAGGTTTGAAGATCAGTCAATTATGTGCCATGTGTGATACACACTTAGGTGATCATGTATCTTTCGATACATGACTGATGAGGCAGATTTTTCCCCGCAATAGGTTGCCATTTCTTTCTGCGGTAGACCAGTTTCATCCAAGGCTAGAGAATCTGACCTGTCCTGCTATTTACCCATAGTTCGGGGGAGGGGGGGGAAGAGAAGAGGATTCATACATTTCCCAAGGGTATTAGCATGTAAGTGAATGTAATGGATTTGTTTACAATTCGAACTTGGCTCTCTGATTCCTCAATCGGAGACTATCCATTACTCCACCATGCCTCCTTTGAAGATACTGAACATAAAATTAGAAGTTGCTTATTCCTAAAATGTTTAATTTTAGATTTGAGAATAAATGTAATCATTTTAGGTATTTTTGGCCCTCTTACTAATGACATTTTATACAGAATTTCCTTTACTTATATCTTTTTTGTGTTTCACAATTACAGAAGTATGAACCTTTAAGTAAATTTAATAAAAAGGGTGGTGGACATTATGCTTTGCATTGTGTTTTTATAAGCAACAAAACAAAAGTAGGCATCTCCACTAATCCGCCAAAAAAACAGCATTGCATGATAAAGGCCCCAAATTTAATGAAAAAGTTTTGTCAAAATGTTTGTTATTATTAACAGGAAAGACCAAAGTATTTTTTTTTTTTTTTTTTGAGTATTTTATTAAATTTTTTTTAATTCTTTCTAGCATGTTTGCAATTTTGGGCAATTTAAATAAATAAAAAAAAAAAAAAAAAAAAAATCAGTGGTTTATGCAATATTTACAATTAGTGTTTTAGCACCTCCAAAACAAGTCACCATGGTTAAGACACATGCTTTAAGCTTTTTAATGATATTCTGCTGAAGAAAAGATTTTTTAATCAAAATTTCAAATGTTCTGTAAAAAGGATGAAGAAAAAAAAAAAAAAAAAAAATTAATAAAATTATTAAAAAAATACTTTGGTCTTTCCCCCTTTAATAATAACTTTTTTCATCATGGCATGCTCTTTTTTGGCAAATTAACAGTTCGGTTTGGTTTTACAGCAATGGGTTATTTAATGCCGACAAATATTTTGTTTTGTCAAAAATCTATTTCTGATAATTTTTTTCCTTCAAAAAAGTATTGCTGGTTTTTGGTTTTTTTTCAAAAAATTTATTGCTGATAATAATTTTTTTACTAAGTATTTCTTTTTTTACACTTTGATAACTGATTATTTGACCCTAACTGGGACCCTAACAGGTGCCACCACCCTGGGTCAGGGTGGACCTGGGAACACCAGCAATTAAGAGGTGGTTACACTCTCCTCAAAAACCTCCTGATCAGAGGCCTTGCTGCTGGACGTAGTTTATCGTCATACCAAGAACGCTCAGCGAATTAATGGAGATTCCTAAAAAAAGTGATTAAGAGAAGTTCTCTTAAATCACTTTTTTAGGAATCTCCATTTAGTTCCCAGCTAAACTTGGAGAGGAGAGTAAAGGTTTAAAAGAAACAGGGAGGATTTGAATTTTATTTTATTCTATACATAAAGAACCGAATTCAACAGTAGTAAAAAGTGTTATTCAATCATTTTATAATTTATTGATTCAATAGTTTAAAAATCGAAGCCTAAAAATTCCCGAATGCTTGCAATGTGCTTTGAGGAGGGTGTATTCAATCACCCCCAATCCCAAATCAATATTTCCACTATTTCTCAATCCTAACCGCCATCAACCTAACAATTGTAAAAAGTGGACATCAAGATGGACAATCACAAAGAGAAATAACAGTCATTTAAAATAAAAACGAAAAAGTTTATGAGCAGTCGGAGTTGTGCAATTTGGGATCAGATTTTAATTTTGATATAAAAATCTGACGAATTTTAGAATAGATCAATGCTTTCAAATCCCATTCATCTCAGCGAATTAAAATTTATCAGTTTTTGTATGCAATGATCAATCAATCAGTATTCACCACGCAATAATAATAAAAACAGTGAGGACTTTTGATTGTAATGCAGCTGCCTTTGGGTGACAAACTAATTTCAACTCGGGGCCTCAAAATGGGTAATTTGCATTTCAAGCCCTGCGCTCAGTTTCTAATAAAAAATTCCCGAATCGTTCCCTTTAATGTACATGCTTGATTCGAAAATAAAGAAATTTTGATAAAATTTACCGTTTTGGAGTTATCGACAATAAAATTTCGGATTCATTCGCATCGTGGTGGGTGAAATTAAAATTAATTCTTACCCCCCTCACCTTTGTCTAATTTATCGAGAGAATGAGACAACTTCTATAAATGTTTTTAAATAAACTAAAAAAGTTTTTCAAAATTACTTCTCATAGTCACAGTTTTTAGTAAAAAAAATTTTTTTTTTTTAATATTCACAGTTTTTACTAAAAAACTGAATATTAAAAAAAAAAAAAAAAAAATTGTAAGTAACACTTCTAAAAACTTTTTAGAAGTGTTACAAAATTATAAATGCTTAAAAGAAAGGTGACAATGATCACTTTTTTACGGTTAACGTAAAAATATAATGAAAACATTTTAAAAAGCGCCAATTATTATCGTGTCTTTCGTGCAAAGTTAAAAACAAGACATTTTTTTATTCCTTCAATACGGAGAGGAGATAAAAAAAAAAAAAAAAAAAAAAAAAAAAATGGCGGAACGTTGTTAAACGCACCCCTCCTTAAAAATTTAATTAGAGTGCATTCATGTAACTACAGTATTAATTTAAAACCAAATGTGTATTGCAATATTATGTTAAAAAAAAAAAAAAAAAGGTCTATATATTCTCCCAAACATTATAAGACTTGAACTTAAAAAAAAAAAAAAAAATCTATAAATTGCCACGAATTATCAATTTAAGCGTTTCTCTTGATTCTTTCCCAATATGCTTCTACACATGATTAGTACAGGCCCCTATCATTGGATCAAGCAAATTCTGATTATAGTTGACAACTAAAAATGCTAAAAGCCAATCGCATCTCTAACCCATTAGAGAGGACTATCCATCACTATGAATGATAACACCAGGTGCGACACATGGCTGCACAATTGGAAGTTTCCGCACTTCTGTCGGTAATATGCACCAGGTAGCCTTTTTTTAGTTTTAAAATCAGTATCTCTACAATAAAAAATCAATTCAACGATTTCTCTTAAAAGACGACGAGACACACGTCTAATTCCGCCTAAAATTAATGCGTTCAGTTTCATTTTATTAATAATTAAAAGCATTAAAGACACCCCCCTCTTTTTTAATGATACAAACTTTCTAGTATTGATAAAAAGAGAGATTTCTTACCTAGCCTTTGTTGAGGTAGGTATGGAACGTTAACATTTTGATTGTCATTTTCTCGTCGAGAAACATGTGCTACCTACTATCCATTTTTTTTTTTTTTTTAGTTGTTGATTGTACTCTCAAAATTGCTTTTGTTTATCTGTAAATAAATTGCTATGTATCCTTGGTAAAGATAGTGAAGTGGTTTCCCTGTCGTAGCTGACTGGTCAATTCAAAACTGTGATAAGAATTAAAAACATGTTTATTTCGGTCTCTACATTTCAAATTTAACTTGTCGGTATACAAACGTGGCCGCGCGCGCGGATGTAAAAACAAAGTGGTTTTGAAAACATTTTTTTTTTTAAATTAAAATAATTTAAGAAGTAATCATTTTTTTTTTTTTTTAAATATACAAATAGAAAAAATTGCAGCATTTGAAGTTTAAGGGTCGCGAATATTAATGTTTTATATGCGCGGGTCAACTTTATATCAAATTTAAATTGCAAGAGTCCACATTTTTTGGGGTGTTTGTTGTACAATCAAGCATTGCGACCAGAAACATTCCGGATATCCCTCCCCAACCGATCCGGGAATTTTGTTCATATTACTAATTACTTCATAATTACTATATTAAGCCCTCCATGATTACAAATATGTAACATTTTTCTTCATCTAGATAAAATAAATTTAATTAACTTTATATAAACTTACTTAGAGATCCAGTTTGGCATGTTTTGCAAAATCTGATCAAAGTAAGCCAAACTAAAAATATGCTCACGACGTAATATAAAAAAAAGTTTTGCAACCTCGTTACGTTAATGAACCATTGCCCTAGCATTATCTTTTATTTCTTTTTTAAAGGTTGGAAAAAAAAAATGTAAAATCTTTAACTACTATCTTATTTTTGATAAAGGAAAAAAAAATTGAAAACGATTTTTTGAAGCATAGGAAAAAATGTCTGGAGGGCTGCTTAGTCAATAAAATTAATTTTTTTTAAAAAGAGAAAAAGTTTTGTCTTGCAGTTAAAATTTAAAAAGAAAAAAAAAAAGCAATTTAAAAAACAATGAGGGTTTTTCTTTGACTCAATTTAAACAGGAGCACGTGACGAACTTCTTACGCAATTAAAACCAGGGACATTGTCCTTTAAAGACAATGTCCCTGGTTTTATTTTATCGAAAAGGAAAATCTCTAAATTATGTTTGTGTTTCCACAGCTTCAATAGAAAAATAGCTATATACTTAATAATTTTACATATACAATGAGAAGCTATTTCGATAGATATTCTTAAATTAAAAAAAAAAAAAAGGTAAATACAAGATTTATATTTTATTGTTATTATTTTGCAGAAACTAAAAAAGTAAACGAAACAAGAAAAAAGTTTATTATTCCACACTTTTGTAACCATGCAAAACTACTAAAAGTTTAAAAAAAAAAAAAAAAAATCAAACTGCCTTTTTAAAGAATCAAAGAGGAGATATAAAAAACAATGCATGAAAAACAATCGCGTTTTAAAAAGATTTCGATAAGTGAAAATCAAGACAAACCTCTGTTCATCTACATTATCCTCTCTCTTGTTTTCCATATTCACGGAGTCTCCAACAAAAAAGAAAACACGACAACAAGGGATATTACGGAGGTACACTTGGTAAATTATTGAAGTAGAAATGTTATCCAAGGTAAAATGATTTTTTTTTTTTTTTTTGCGTGTGTTTTCCCCCTCGTCTATTTGTTCGTAAATCTTGAAGCAAATATTAAAACACTATTATTAATAACAACCAATTTTTTAGTTCTATTAACATATTCATAGTTATCGCATCTTGATCTCCTTTTGAGTTGTTGATCTGCTCTTGGCGCCCTTGACGCTGATTGGTGCATAATCCACACCAGCGTCCTCCCAATACCAAAACATCCAAGGCCCTTAACTCTTGTTGGCATTTTATAGTTTGTTTTTATTCGTTGTGTTCTGGGAGTGGGACCCTCTCCGTGACTTTTTCTAACTTGTCATATGCAAGTTGAACATGAGTCTTGTTGATTTTAAGAGCTGTTCAGACTATTGAACAAATTATTTTTTTGTTGTTATCATTTTCATATCGATTGTACACCCGAAGAAGACTAGAGAATGGATTAAGAAGTGAAATGTTGTATAAGAACATTAATAAATAACAATGATTGCAGCACGGACTTTAAAAAGAAAAATATAAAAATCAAAATGCCTTCTTTGAACTTAAATTACGTTTCTATTTGAATAACAATGTTTTCTAAACTAAAGTTAATCTGTATAAAAACAAAAAAAAATTCCGTTTATAAATAAATTTTTGAGGCATTTTTAAAATATTGGTACGTTTTTTTCACTCATTGCGTTGCCATTGTATACGAAAAAATGCAAACAAATTTAAAGTTCTCGTTAAAATCCAATAATTTACCCTAGAGATATGTTCCGAAGTAAATTTAAGGATTAATTAACTGGGTATATGCTTACTTTTTTTTTACTTAAAACAATGAAAATAACGATTTATTTACGCACGCGAGCCAGTGAGGACAAAGGATAAAAAATAAACACGCTAATTCTCCACCTGCCCGAAAAAGCGCGGGAAAAAAAACCTACGAAATAAAATAATAAAAACGACGAAAGATCAACAGTGCGAAAAATCAAGAATTTGTTATTTATGTTTATATAATAAAACAAAACCTAGAAACATTTATGTAACTTTGAAACTTTTGTGATTTACCTTGAACTTGCAAAATCTACAGTATCCAATTGTCATAAATAAATGTCACTGGTGAAACAACAGAAATGTGGTTTTACAGAAGGATGCTGACTAAACAATGGACCAAACATGTGAGCAACGGCAAAGTTATAAAGACAATGGCAGCAAAAAGGACAATAATACTTAATATCAAAAAGAGAGTTTTAGAATTTCTGGAGCACATAATGAAGAAAGAGGGCTTAGAAAATTTGATATTCACAGGACAGATTGACAGTAAGAAAGACAGGGGAAAGCAATTCATAACCTACCTGGTGTGCTTGAGTGAATGGACAGCAGAGTAAGTTTTGGGAGAGATGACAAAAGCTATTAAAAAGTACAAAAAAACAAGAAAAAAACAGGAAATTGTGAAGAGACATGATTGCCAATGTCTTGAAGGGACATGGCACATAGAAGAAGAAGAGTTCATGCTAGTGGCTCAAGATTTATGTGGTCTACTCCATACAATAACATGATTGTCTGCCTAAAAATGCTAGAAACATGACTCCTTTGATCAGGCAACATGGAACCATTCTCTTACAGTCCATGGGCAATCTTCTCTGGCCCAGATGAGATGCACTAACTGATGCCATGGTTTCGATAATGATACAATATTTATAATGCTTAAAATATATGTCTTATGCTAAAATGGCCTCTTTAGGACTTTAAAAATAAATTACTTTAGTTTGATAAAGTACTAGCGCAGTACCCATTCCCCAGTAAATGTATTGCTATGTTACTGTAGAAAGAATTCCATATGATGTTAAGATGCATTGAAAATTATAATGGTGTAGAGATTGACACAGAAAGTTGGTTTTTACATTCAAAATGGATGAATACTGAGCAAACGTTTTGGAGGGTTTATTAATTTTTTATGGATACAAATTATATTCTTCCTGTGTGACAGAATTCATAGTTCACAGTACAGTTGAAAAAGAGAGAGAGAGACCCCTTCTTTGTAGCAGGCAGTTGGCCTGATTAATTCTTTGGTGGTTTGAGGAGTGGATCAAACTGTCCCACTTTCTGACAAAAGAGTAAAGAAAACTGACCCTCTTTTCCTGGGTTTATATTGAGGTCAGTAAGTAGTTAGGTAGTGCAGTGAGTGTTTGCAGGATTGTCCTTTGTTTTGGTACAGGGTCATTGATCTTTTGTTTTCCTTATGCAAGTATCTGGTTTCAGAAACAAAGTTAGCTGATTAACCTGTCCTTAAAGATGCCAGTGTTAATGTGAATAAGGTGTTAAAGAGATGATAAATAAGTGATGCTTTTCAGGGGATTTAAGAAATATTTTTATTTTATTTTATTTATTAAACTTAGCCTACTACTAGAAAGGAAAGAAATTTTGTACCATGCTAAATAATTATATAATATAGGCCAATGAACCGTTTAATCAATCTGTTCCCTTTATATTTTTTAGATGTTCAACAGTATCTATGACCAATTGATTACACCTGGTATTATATAAATCTTTTCATGTTAAAAATTTAATGTGTTTACTATAACTGTAAAATAGAAATACCACCCAAAAGAAAAAGATCAGCAACAGAACAACAGAGAAAGCCTATTTCAAGTTGAAGCAAGACAATCACCTAATAGACAAAGGTATCTGAGTGCCTGATATGAAAGGCTTAAACAATAATCTTTATCAATTTTATTTTTCAGTCTTTATGATGGTCGATACTTGATCTATCTCTTACTGTTACATCCCCGGGCAACGCCGGGCTCTACTGCTAGTATATAAATAAATATGCTTTGATAATTATTATATAGTTTGAGGGCTTCAGCTCACTGCTGACCACTTTTCTGCCCCCCTCATATTTGCACTATGAAGGAGTGAGAGAAGATAAGTATTCTGGGAATGGTAGTGTTTACCTTTCTTTTTCTGTATGCTGTGTTTTTTCAGCAATCGTGGCTCTCCACAACTTCATATCCTTTGCACCTCTTGCCAATGTTTGTCCTTTTGTTATCCATTCCCTTTCTTATTCTGCTATCCATTTACACAAGTTTGTTAGGTAGGTATTTAATTTCCTTTGCTCCTCCTGCCATCAATAGAGTATCAAATTTTCCAAGCTCTTTTTCCTCATTATCTATCCAAGAATTTTCAACTGTATCTAATACAAAGTATAAACATCTTCTTTGTTTACATTTTCTTTAAAACTTCCTCATTACTCACATGTCTCGTGCATGGTATTCTCAGTATTCTTCTGTAGAAACACATCTACCTAGCCTCAGGTCAATCCACTGCCATATATCACTGATATATGGCAGTGAATGATGTGATATTATATTGAAGGGCTGATATTATATTGTAGTTGTGTATTTTTTTTTAGTGTCTACCTTTACTAAAATTATAAAGGGTAATTATTAAATATAAGGTTTTTCTCTTGATACCGCTATTGTTTTGTACTACCTTTACTCCCTCAGCAATGTTTATTTACAAGATTATAAAAATACTAGCTGAATTACTTCACTTTGTTGTGTGTCACACAAGAAAATGATGATTGATTTTAAATCATTGTTATAATTTGTGGAGAAAAATGATGCATTTCAATATGCGCCTGAGCAAGCGTCTGTAATAGGGATTGGCTAGCCATCCTAGTAGATGAGTATCCTCAAATACAAGTGACCAGCCATACATACAATGTATGTGATATTTATTATTTACCTTTTATAAAGACTTATTATTTACCATGTTATCAAGAAATAAATTTGAAAAGAAATCTTTTTATTTAAAAATTAAAACAAAATATTACAAAATATATAAACCATTCAGAATGCAATATTTATTATTTACCATTTTTAATTAATAATTTTATATCACTGAATTAGAAAACAAAATTTGAATAAACAGGATTTTCTGGACATAATACATTTTCTTTTCAAATTATTTTATATCTTAGATTACTTCTTATTTTAATTTTCTAATTTTTTTAAAATATGATCTTGAAATCCAAGCCCTGAAACTTCAGCAAGTAACCCCCCACCCTTATTCATTTCTTTATAAATTGGTAAATGATAGACCTTGCATTGTATCAGGTGGTATGCATTTTTAGAATGTGGTAATATAAAATTATACTTGTAAATAAACAATCTAATAAATAAATAATAGGTATCTCCAAAGATTCCATAAAAAAATAAAAAATGAGCATACATGATGAAAAACTGCCCCAAACTTAATAAAAACAAAGTTTTATTGTCAAAATATTTGTGTTATTCAGAAGAAAGACCAAAGGATATTTTGATTATTAAATTATACTTTTGAATCCTTTTTAGAAACCTTCAAAATTTTGGTTAAAAATTTAGTTTTTCTCATGTTAACAGGTGACCATAAATTAGTATTGGAAATTAAATCAGATAATTATAACATTTTAATGCAACTTTCAGAACTTATTCACACAGATTATTTTAGAAACCTTTCTTTTTTTTTAGAAAATCTTGGTAAAAATATTTTTTTTACATCTGTTACACCCACTTAATTTTATGAGATTCATTTTAGTAGGGCTTAATGATTATATTAGTTATAAGCACAAGTCCTTGGAAAATTTAAATCATCATTTTCTTTTATAAAACAACTCCCAGTTACAGAAAATCTTCTCTGAACCATAAAATAAAAAATGAATTAAGAATTATGAAGATGAAGTAGTGAATTACATTGGTATTCTAAAAATATAAAGAAAGAAGTAGTTGATGGTGAGGATGATGATGATGATGATGATATGTTTCAAAAACAGTGCATTTTATTTCAGTACTAGTTTACTCATGCTGTCAAAAACAGCTGCATATACGAGAGAATTTTTTTATTATTATTTCATGGAATTGGCTTTTTCACCTCCCAGCTC